CTCCCTTTCTCTCAGTACAAGATTTTGTGGGCATTCCATGAAATTGCTGAGCAGTCGGGTTAGAACAGGTGAAAGGAAGTCCTTCTTCACCCAAAGAGTGATTAACACTTGGAATTCACTGCCACAGGAGGTGGTGGCGGCTTCAAGAGGGAACTGGATAAACATATGGAGCAGAGGTCCATCAGTGGCTATTAGCCACAAGGTATAGAAAGGATTCTCAGGCTGGGGCAAGGCATGCTCTGTATTCTTGGTGCTGGGGGGGGCAGCAGTGGGAGGGCTTCTAGTGTCCTCGCCCCACTGCTATACCTCCTGATGGCACCTGGTATTTTTGGCCACTGTGTGACAGAGTGTTGGACTGGATGGGCCACTGGCCTGATCCAACATTGGCTTCTCTCATGTTCTTATGTCAGCCATGGTCATTACTTGGATGGGAGCCCGCCAAGGAAGACTGGGGTTGCTATGTAGAGGAAGGCAACGGCAAACCAACCCTGCTCATGCCATGTCTTGAAAACCCCGTGGTCCTAGGGTCTCCCCGAGTCGATGGCACACCATTATTATTGTAAAAATCCAATAAAACTAAAAGAGTTGTAACCATGCGGCACAGAATCTGCATTTATGTGAAACTTCTGTTCTTTGGCTTCAGGCTCGCGCTATTCGCTCATCGAGAGGATGGACCGGGAATCCCTGCTGATATTAAGCTCTTTGACATTTTCTCCCAACAGGTGGCTACCGTCATACAGGTATGTTCAGGGTTGGTTCACTTCGACAAGGGAGGCTCAGATCACAGATTTATCCCAGGTCCCCAATTACAGCAGATTATTTGTGGGCGACTTTCTGCTGGAGTCTGATTGCCGGACTCAGTGTGAAGGTAAACGCGCCATCGCAGAGTTTTGAGGGATATGGAGAAGGGGTAGTTTGGTGTAGTGGGTTAGGGGTGTGGACCACTGTTCCCTCTAAGCTGAGTTAGTGTGAGCTAGCTCACAGTTTTTTAGCCTCCGGCTCACCCATTTTCGTCTGAGCTCAGGAAGGGATGGCTCCAGAGCAAACTAATTTATGCAGCAGCCAAATCACTCGCTCACAGCTTTAATGCCAGTAGCTCACCAAGGAGCATTTTTGCTCACAAGACTCCACAGCTTAGAGGGAACATTGGTGCGGACTCTAATCTGGGAGAACCGGGTTTGATTCCTCACTCCTCCACATGCAGCTGCTGGTGTGACCTTGAGTCAGTTACAAGTTCTTTCAGAGCTGTTCACTCACGAGGTTCAAGATTTTGGTACTGAGCTTTAAGGCCGTGAGCAGCGAGGGACCCATGTATCTTTGGGACCGCCGCCTCTGGTATGTCCTCCGAGGAGTGTTATACTCTACCGAGAATAATCTGCTGGCGATCCCTGGCTCCAAAGATATCAGTTTGTCCTCTGGCGGAACCAGGGCTTTTTTGATCCCGGCTCTGACCTGGTTGGACCTCTCTACCAAATATCATCAGGGCCCTGCAAGATCGAGGGCAGTTCCACCGGGCCTGCAAGGCAGAGAGATTCTGCCACGCTTTTGGTTGAGGGCAGCAGTGGGCTCCCTCGTGGCTGGCACCCCTCTCCTTTATTCCATCTTTCCTTTCGGCCTCCTCCCTACTCTGCCTGCAAGGGGGCAACACGGTCCAGAACTGGCTTAAGATTCGATTCATGGACGCCATCTGGGAACTGTCTTTAAGACTGTATCGAATTATTAATTGTTGTGACTTGGTGATGTTTATGTTGTATTTCATTTACTGTTGTACATGGCCCAGAGCCCTGTGAGCTCAGGGATTGGGCGAGTCATACATTTAATTTACAAATAAGATCAACAGGGGTCTGGCCGTTGAGCCCTTTCTTGCTTTTGGAATTTGGGGTACCTTCTGACCCCTGTAAATCTCTCTGTCTGCTTCTGCACCGGTTCCAATTTCAGTCCCGGCAAGACATGCCTTCGGAAGATGTGGTGTCCTTGCAAGTGTCTCTCATTAACCTGGCCATGAAGTGCTACCCGGATCGCGTGGACTACGTTGACAAAGTCCTGGAGACGACGGTGGAGATTTTCAATAAGCTTAATCTGGAGCAGTAAGTGTTCGTTTGTCCCTGTGTGTTTTATTCTCCTCTGCAGTTTTATTCTCGCACCAACCTGGTGAAGGGAGAGCGGGCTGAGAGAAAATGGACTGGCCCGTTTAGTTGCTTCATTTATACCCCACCCAACGGGGGCCCAAAACGGCCTACGTCATCCCCCCCTCTCCTCTGTTTTGTCACCACAACGACCCTGTGACGTAGTTAGGAGGAGAGTGTGTGACTGGCCCAAGGTCACCCAGCAGGCTTCCGTGGCAGAGTGCAGATTCAAAATTCGGGTTTCCCAGGTCCTAGTCTGCCAATCGAACCACTTCACCCCGCTGCCCCTTCATGGTGTGTGGAAGTTTGAACTCTGATCTCCCCGTGCCTAGTCCAGCCCTACGCCCCATGGACTCCATGTCTTTGTAGCCTAGAAAGAGCTAACAGGATACACTCCCCAGAGACAAAAAAATTCAAGTCAAGCAATAGAAGAGAATTTCAATATAATAGAAAAGTAATATAAATCAACATGTAAAGAGCTAATATGTGCAACACTGCAAAATCAGCATCAGAAAACAACATCAAAAGTAAAGCGATGCCAGTCACAAATAAATCTTAGTAAAGGTTTCCCTCGCTCGAAAGCTAGTCAAATCTGACTCTAGGGGGCAGTGCTCATCTCCATTTCAAAGCCGAAGAGCCAGCGCTGTCTGAAGACGTTTCTGTTGGTCATGTGGCCAGCATGACTAAACGCTGAGGCACACGGAATGCTGTTGCCTTCCCACCAAAGTTGTACCTATTTATCTACTGGAAATGTCTTGCTTTTGGACTGCTAGGTTGGCAGGAGCTGGGGCCAGAGACGGGAGCTCACTCCGTCACGTGGCACTTGGGTCTCGAACTGCCGAGCTACCGACCTTCTGGTCTGCAACTAAGCCTATATAAATACTCTTAGCAAACATAGGATACTTATCAAATGTACTTCCGATGTTGTTTTCTAATGCTGATTTTGTAGCATTGGGCGTGTTAACCTCCTTACGTGTTGTGATTCATGATATATTACTTTTCTGTTAGATTGAAATTTCTCTTACGTTGCTTGACTTGGATTTTTTTTTTTGTCTCTGGGGAGTGCATCCTGTTAGCTACTGTTATTTCCTCCCTGTCCCTGTTTTCTACATTTGTAGCCCGGAAGGCAATATCTTGTAATTGGGGGTGGGTGGGTATCAGTGGGAGGCTTTGAAAATGGCTCTCTGATCTTATCAAATAATGAATTGCTTTCATTTGACCTTGGCGAGCAGGAGCCGGAGTAACCCGTTGCAGGAACTCTGGAAAATTCCTCTGTTTTTGGTATCTGTTCTCAACGTTCCCTGTCCCTGTTTTCTACATTTGTAGCCTGGAAGGCAATATTCTTGTAATTGGGGGTGGGTGGGTACCAGTGGGAGGTGGGAAGGAAGCCGCCGCTTTCATGTGAACCAAGGGCCAGCCGTGCTGACTAAAGCAATGTGTGTGTGTGTTTCCTGTTAATTTTCCCCCTAATGGGATGCTTTGAAAATGGCTCTCTGATCTTATCAAATAATGAATTGCTTTCGGCACCATTTGACCTTGGCGAGCAGAAGCCAGAGTATCTTCGTTGCAGAAACCCTGGAAAATCCCTCCGGTTTTGGTATCTGCTCTCGACGGTCATCCTGTGCCTCCTTAGAGGCTTACTTCTTACAGGAATGGAGCAGCGTCAGTCCATTATCCCCTTTTCTGTCTCTCCTGCTTGTGCCTTTAGCATCGCGACCAGCAGCGCTGTTTCGAAGGAGCTGACCCGGCTCTTGAAGATCCCCGTCGATACCTACAACAACGTCCTCACCGTCTTGAAGCTCAAACATTTCCACCCCCTTTTCGAGTACTTTGACTACGAGTCCAGGAAGAGCATGAGCTGTTACGTGCTTAGCAACGTGCTTGATTACAACACAGAAATAGTCTCCCAAGACCAGGTGAGGACACAGCACGAGCCAGCGGCCCGATGCTTCGCAGGACTGTCACATTAGCGGGAGTGATTCCATAGGAAAGGGGCACCTCACCCAGCCTATGGAATCATAGCCAGCTAAGATTCTTCTCACCGGAGGAATATTTTAACACAGGTTGGTTTCTGGCGCATGAAACCAAGAAAATCCACCTTTGCTGTGGAGCGTGTGTCGTGTTCCCAACGCTGTCTCAGCAAATGAGGAGTAACCTGGGGTGGATGTTCTAAGCTGCCCCCTTTAGTCTCTCTGGTCTTTACCATAGAGAAAGTATGGGAAATTCCTAGTATGTCACGACGTGGAGGCCACTTTTCTCATCTTTAGTTCCATGGGGTGTGAAATTGGGGCTGGGAGTGAGTAATTCCCTGCCTGGGTTGGGTAAATGGAAGGTCTAACTACATAGAGTGGAGTATATTTGTGGTGGATTTGAATTTTTTTTCCTCCAGTGACCAGTTCGCGATCTCACGGAATGGTGAAAACCATGCAACTCTAGTTTGTCTGATAGCAGCGGCTACTAGTTATGGAGTTCTGTATTTGTTAGACATTCTCCCCTTCAGAGATGCTATTTCTTACTGATACCTTAGCATTTGGGTGATTTGTGACTCAACCAGCTTTTGGGATGTGTTGTCTGAAATGGGAGGACAACTGAAAGATTGCATTTTCCTTTCGGTATCTGTTTGGGTAGGTGGGTTTGGGGGGCAAATTCAGCACTTATGGGTAGTGGTGATCAATGTTCCCTCTAATCTGTGCAATCTTGTGAGCAAAAATTCTACTTTGTGAGCTGCTGGCATTAAAGTGGTGAGCAGGTGATTTGGCTACTGCATCAATTAGTTTGCTCTGGAGCCATCCCTTCCTGAGCTAAGATAAAAATGGGTGAGCTGGAAGCTAAAAAACTGTGAGCTGGCTCACACTAACTCAGCTTAGAGGGAACACTGGTGCTGATGGCATACCTAGATTTATCCTTAGCCCTGGCCAATGGGGGCCGTGTCAGATGTGACAGGGCAAATCTACAGGGGATGGTAACCAATCCTTCCCCATTTTGGCACCGTAACTCCCTGCAGTCTAACTGCTCTCTTTAATTCCTGGCTCAGATGCTTTTATCGTTAAAGAGGGACTTCCAGAACCTTCCTGAACAGGTTCCGTTTCCTGCTCTCCGGAGTAGCCTCACATCTTTTGTAAGCTCAGGCATTGGACATAAAACGCACCTTTCTGAGGATCTGAGTTCAAAAACAAAGAGACAGGCAGGTTTCTAGTCCTCATGACCTGCCTGCTGTAGGTGGATTCAATCATGAACCTGGTCTCCACGCTGATCCAGGACCAGCCCGATCAGCCTGCTGAAGACCCGGACCCCGAGGATTTTGCCGATGAGCAGGGCCTGGTGGGCAGGTTCATTCACCTCCTTCGTTCCGATGATCCCGATCAGCAGTATCTGGTACGGACACTCGCTGGCACCTCGGATAATCCCAGGGCCTAATTTTCTGCCAGTATGGTCGGGGCTATTGTATTCTGCGTGTCCACAGATGAACCAAGCAGGGACGGAACTGGACATTTTGGACAGGGTTCACCGTCCTGTCCAGTACTACCGCTTTACACAGAGTGATTAAAATGTGCAATTCGCTGTCGTGTTGGCCACAGGAATAAACAGCTTTAAAAGCGGATTGAGTAGATTCATGGAGGAGAGGTCTATCAGTGACGAGTAGCCATGGTAACTGAGGGGAACCCCCACATTCAGAGGCACTAATCCTCTGAATCCCAGAGCCAGGAAGCTACATCAGGGGAAGGCCTCAGCCTCTGTGTCCTATCGTTCACCCTCCATAGAAACAGATTGGCCACTGTGTGAGACAGGATGCTGGACTAGGTGGACCACTGGTCCGATCCAGCAGGGCCGTTCTTATGTTCTTACCTAGAGCATGGCCAGGCAGCCTTTGTCTTTTTTCCTTTATTTTGTCTCTCATCTGGAATCCTCTTGCCACTTTCTGCACTGCTGCATTACATAAGAACATAAGAGAAGCCAATGTTGGATCAGGCCAAAGGCCCATCCAGTCCAACACTCTGTGTCATACAGTGGCCAAAAATACCAGGTGCCCATCAGGAGGTCCACCAGTGGGGCCAGGACATTAGAAGCCCTCCCACTGTTGACCCCCC